ACCTGCCTACATGTTTTGGTCCCAATCAGCCTAGCGATGGCACAGAAATTATCGTAGTAAGTCCCGATGAGGACTCGGAACATTGAGGCTTCAGCACCACTCCACTCCACGTTCTCGGGAGGTTCAATGTTTGGCTTCATCTTTATGGGTGTTTGACACCGAGAATTCGCTTCTACAAAACCAAATGTTAGCACTAGTCAGGAATGGCGACTAAGGGGCTGGGGAGATGACTCGGGGGGTAAAAGCTCTTATCACAAGGACCAGAGTTCAAATCCTCTCAACCACATCAAAGTCAGGCACACGGCACATGCGCTGCTACAAGGAAATGAGTCAGAGGTGGAGAACGTCCAGCAGCTCACTGGTGTGTGCAGTGAGCAACAACCAAAGACCTTACCTCAAAGAAGACGGACGTGAGCACCCACCCAAGAGGTTGTGCTGCCATTCACACCTACACCATGGCATAGTAGTACACACACACACACACACACACACACACACACACACACAAAACTAAACAATATGAACAAGCAAAATTCAGGATATGCTGAAGGCACTTAACCATGTTTTAGAACTAAGTAAAAACATCGTATCTTAGAATTAAGTAAAGCTAGAAACAATATCAAAAAGATTCATCCTCCCCCACAGGACCCATGAAATTCTGCTTCTTTCAACACAGACTTAGCAAGTAAACACAAATGGGGTCTATTATCATTTATGATATTGTTCACCGAGTTGAAAGAACTCAAACTCAGTCAATAAAAGATACACCCAGCAGCAGTACTTGTTCTCCCCCTAACTGAAACTACGCAGAGGTCCTCAAGATTAACACTAAGTATCGCAGTTTCATCACGCTCCATCAAAGGACGGGAACGGTCGGTACAAGGGCAAGAACAAATTGCGTCAGACCTTCCAGGAACCCAGAGAGACGAGGCTGACAGGTGGAGCGGGGAGAGAGCACAGACAATTCAGCTACGGGAAGGGAGAGGTAAGGGCCCTGCAGACGGCTCTGTGCTTAGGAGCGCGTACTGCTCTAGCAGAGGGGACCAGTTTGGTTCCCCAACACACGCATCAGAGGATCTTAACTCTCAGAAAGTTCAACCTGCGAAGCGATAGCAAGCCCCGTCATGGGCTGTGTCTTACCAGAGGAGCTGGAGGTTTCATCTTTTTTCTCTTCTTCTTCTTTATCGTTGTTCTCGCCCCCAGTTTCAGTCCCTGCCTCCCTGTCACTGTCCGTATCCTTCGACTCCAGCACACTGATGGTGGGAGTGCTGGGTCTGCTACTGTTATTTGGAAGCCTTCCTCTTCTGCGGCCCCCTGGGCGCTTGGGTGGTGTCTTTATCCTCTCAGCAGTGAGGGCAGCGGCAAACTCCTTAGCTCCCTCCTGCAAAATGAAAAATGGAGGCATCAGGGTAAAGTTCTAACCCTTCTTTTGGTGGACCAGAATAAGAAGACATCGCATAACAGAGTTGCTCGAGAATACATCTCTCACAGTACCCATCAGCACAGTCATTTGTGTGTCAACACACCCAAGCACTTTCCGTCTGCTTTTGATAGTTTCAAGATTTCCGAACATAAAAATAGGTCCAATATTTTCTTCTAATGATAAAAAATCAGGCAAGACAGTTCTACATGATGAATTTGTAAAATATGTTAAATTAAAACAGTTAAAATATAAGAGTATTTTACACAATAAAAGTATTGTTCTCTACATATACAAACAGTACACTTAAAGGAGAATCTCTATCAAAAGACTCACATACTAAAGTGTGTCAAGTCCGACTTCCTATTTCAAAGCTTAAAATAATACATATCTCTTTAAAGGTACTATTAAGTATACAAGAACACAAAACATACACATGCATGACTTAGTCACTTCCGGTCTTACTATTAAAACATCCAATATTTTTTCCTGTGAAGGATGCAAAGCCACAGGAAGACATGAAAGAACTTTTAGGAACAAGATAAGGGTGACATTTTGCATTCTGAAGTATCACAATCCAATCTCAGAAAGTATAAAACAATGGTAAGAGCATGGCTTGTAAGAGACCACAGAAACATTTTAGATGAGCCAATAAAGTTCTGCCTTATAAAGAATATAAAACAGTGCTCAGGAATTCCTTTTTGTTATTTTTCATTTTTTTATTTTTTCTTGGAAATAGAAGGGAAAGTTTGAAAGGAGCCAACAGTTTTATACTTCACTCTACAAAAACCAAATTGCTTAAGATAGGATACCTTCTGCAGGCGCCATTGACTGCATCTTCTGTCCAAAATCCAACAGGCAATATATGCCCACTTAGTTCCTAGGGAAGGGTGGCTTGTTCAAAGAGGGGAGATGGTAAAAAATAAGATAGTACCCGTAAAAAACAACTTTCCTGCCTCATACCTTCCTAGTCCCTTACTCCTAATCTCTACCACTTAAAAAAAGAAACTCTGTGGGATCTATGATACAGCTCAAACTACAAGTGGCCTAAAACATTCCCAGAAGGGATGCGTCCATGCTTAGGAACGTCTGCACACAATTAACTGAGCTTCTGGTGTCTAAGTGGGCTATCTACGCCTCATACTCTCATAAACTTTGTAGAGAGTCCTTGATCCTAAAGACCGAGAGACATTGCTGCAGAAATAACACAGATAAGCCAAGAGTCATGCGAGGTTAACAGACTACACTGTGCAGCACAGAGCTATGGAGAAACGAGGGCGAGAAGACTGCCTGCCATATGTAAGTACGGGTGCGGACAGCGTTAGCGCCGCTTCACCACCTCCACCAGAGTTCTCACGAGCCCTCCGAGAAACAAAGCACTAAACCTCACCAGATGCTGGTAACACTGTGCTCCACAAGGCTTGTTGTCCAGAGCTGTTTCCGTGTTCTTCCGCTTATAGGTATTGGGTGTTGCATGGAAGGCTGTAGAATAAACACAAAGTATCTGAATATGGCTATAAAAAGTGTACTCTTTCATTTCCCCAGATCCACGGGGAAACCCACTAATATCTTTCAAGCATGTAGTCTACTTTTACAACCTCTTCTCCATCTATCACAGGGTATTCTCCACTCTTCTTCCAACCTCCAAGAAAGGTAGAAACATGGTAAGCTCTGGAATGATTCATAATCCTTATTTTCCCCTTGCAAGTATGATTGATGGGCATAAAGTGTAACTATAAACATTTAACTTGAGTGTTTAGTATCTCCAACACGTAAAAAATATTGCAAAAGGAAACCAGACTTCCTAATTTTATAATATTCTGGCATCTACAATTCCTCTGTGTGGGGAGGTGTTTGGCGGGGAGGGGTGAGATAGGAGGACTGTGTCTTTCCCAGGCTGGCTTTAAACCCAGGGCACTCTTCCCGCCTCACCTCCCCAGTACTAGAGTTACAAATGTATATCACGATACTTAGCTCTGACATACTTTCTTGATTTCTAGAGGAAGGTCAATTTATTAAGCATGGAGTTGAAAATGGTTCTACTTGTTAAGACTCTAGAGAGAAGCTCCCAATGGCTAGGATTCAATTCTAGGGTGTGTTCACTGGTTGTTTTCTCGTGTAATGGAAAAGGCCGGGGTTGGGGATTTAGCTCAGTGGTGGAGCCCTTGCCTAGCAAGCACAAGGCCCTGGGTTCGGTCCTCAGCTGGGGGGGGGGGAGCCCAATGCTTAAAGCAAACTATTCAAAATTATACAAGATGAAACTGACCTTAATTTAGCTAAAAATAAGTGATATTAACAGAAACTTTTGAGATTTTTGGCTGGAGTTTTTTGGTGGTATTGTTTGTAAAGACCTTTTTCCATAAAGGCTCCTCACTATCTTTACCCTCAAATATTAGGGATCCAATCCAGGACCCTGTTAAGCAAGGCTCAGCCATTGAACTAAATTCCCAAGTTGTTCCCCCACAAACACACCTTTTTAATGGTAGTTGGGTTTTGGTTGTTTTGGTTTAGTTTTGACCAAAGTTTTGATATATAGCAGCCTAGGCTAGCAAACTTGCCTGTGTCTCAATAATGTTGAGATTACAGACAGTATTACCACATGTTCTGGTGTTTTGGATTTGTTTTAGCTCAAAATAAATTACTCTTAAAATAGACTTAAAAGGGTCAGCAAGATAAGGATCACCAAGCCTGATGACCCAGGTCAATCCCTAGAACCCACGGTGGAAGGAAAGAACCAACTCCAACACGTTGACTTCCACGTTCACACCACGACCAACATGTGCTCACATGCAAAATCACTGAGCCAGTGTTGTAAGTAGAGGCTCATGGGCACACTAAAGGTACCTAAAACTGAGAAACAACCCAGGGACTGGGGAGCTGGCTCAATGAATAAATAAATACACACTGATAATAAACAATGAGAGAAATACTGTATCGCAAATGACTTGAACTTCTCCACAAATGATCTAAACAGTTAGATAATTTTGTAGATGAGGAAAAGGAATTGGATCCATATTCCTACCAGAATAAGTTCTGCACAGAAAGATACACAAGTGTACCTTTTTAAAAAAGGAGAAGTGGGCAGGTGGGATGGCTCTGTGTACTAGTAAAGGTGCTTGCCATCAAGCCTGACAACCTGAACTCGATCCTCAGAACCCTCATGGGAGAAGAGAACTCACTTTCTAAACTTGTCCTGACCTTCACAGGAGCACCACAGCGCACATATCCTCCCAACCCCCAAAATAAATGAACAAATGTAAAAAAAAGAAAGAAAGAATAAAGAAAAAAAGCAAAGTTTAAAACGTGAAGCGGGGAGCCTTATAATCTTAAAGTAGAGAAAGCCAATGATACATTTAATTCTTTTTTTTTTTTAATTTAATCCTACTTATGGACCTTTTATTATTAAACAAACTTTAAACAACTCATTTTAAAAGAACTGACTCCGGGCTGGGGAAGGCTTCAGTAGGTAAACTGCATACTGTGCGGGCATGAGGACCTGAGCGTGGATCCTCAGCCCTTCTACAAAGGCTTAGTGTGGCCGGATGTATCTGAAAGCCCAGCACTGGGGAAGCAGAGATAAGGAGGCTCTCAGGGGCTTGATGTGCAGTCAACGAACACAACCTAGTGAACTCTAGGTTGACTGTGAGATCTTGACTCAGAAAATAAGGTAAACTAGAGTTACTCTATAATGGGGCAACAATGCCTCTACTAGACAACACAGGCTAACTAATAAAAAGGCAAGTGCCAGGAACAGGTTACCTCCTTTGGAGTTGTTGAGCAATGAGGTCCCATAGGCCCCCAAACATTACAGGCTATTGCCAATACTACTGAGAAGACCTTATTGCTAAAGAGATCACATACTTGAGTCATAGAACATGAAGTTATCAAGCTGGCACTAACCTGGAAGCTTCATCCCTACTGGCTAGCATGCACAGTGCAGGAAGGGGCTATGCACACTAATGCAGGGGGAAAGTAATCCCAGCTGTGAATGCTGCAAGATGCTATTAGGACTGGCATGGCAAGACATGCCATTGTTGCTGTGGTGTTGGGAACATCATGAAAGAAGCCAACCACTTTCTGACTGGATGTAAGTCCCACTTCACAAGGTGACACCTATATCTGGCACCATTGTTGGGCCAAGAATATGTGGCTAGACTAGTCTTGGACCCTAGGGAAGAAGAGAGCCTAATACTATTATTTTATCAAATGGAGATAATACTAAATCAACTCCTAATAACATGACTATAACCATAAGTTAATGTATTTCTTAACCGTCACCAGAGAAGCTTCTATTTGCAGTAGATGTGATTAACATAAAGACCCACAACTGATCAAGATGCAGAGACTGAGAGACTGAAGCACGTTGAGACCTAAAAGGGAAATCTGGATCGCACCCCCTGCTCCAAGGCTCAGGGATAGTCGAGGAAAAGAGCATAGACTTAGAGCCAGAGGCAGTGGATGACTCGACTCAAACATGTTATTATTTTATTGTTTTTTTTTTTTTTTTTGGTTTTTCGGGACAGGGTTTCTCTGTGTAGCTTTGCGCCTTATCCTGGAACTCACTTGGTAGCCCAGGCTGGCCTCGAACTCACGGAGATCCGCCTGGCTCTGCCTCCCGAGTGCTGGGATTAAAGGCGTGCGCCACCACCGCCCGGCTTATTTTATTGTTTTTTAATGTAACTTTATTTCAAGTTTACTGAAGATAACACTGACAGGTCCAAATAAGGCATTCACTCACTGTCTAATGGAGTGAATTTCACTCAATGTCTAAAGGAGGAAATTAAGACAAGTTACAAGCTAGCGAAACTGCCAAAGCATCACTTCCGATGCCGAGATGGAGCTAGAAGTCTAGAAACCTACTTCAAGTACTTCTAATATCATTAAACTATACTACTACAATCTCCCTCTCCCTTTCTCTCTCTCACACACACACACTCACTCACTTTAATATTTCCAGACCAAAATACATGTTATTACAACAAATTATAAGTGGAAAGGAGCAACAAATATACACAGATAAAGCCAAACTTTTAAAATAGGTGAGAACAATACAGCTGGAAGTGTCACCGCTGGCCAAGAGTGGGGCACATACCTTAATCTTAGCACTCAGGAGGCAGAGGCAGGTGGATCCGGGTAATCAGCAGTTCAAGGTTAGCTCCAGCTACATACTGAGTGTGAGACCCAGGCTCAAAAAACACAAAATAAATTCTAGTTACCTAGAAAGTTTACTAAGAAACCTCACTCCCTAGAAATGTCAAGGGAAAAGTAAGTTTTCATACTGATCCTAAGAATATGCTTTGCTTGTGTTGAAATGCAAGTACTTATGAAGCAATTATTCTGAGGATCAAAAAGAAATATTTTAACACTAGGCAAGAACTTGTTTATATAAATGCCTTTTCAGCCAATTTGTTACTTAATAAAACTTGTTCAGAAATATCAGCAATATTGCTCTGAGCTATGAGTTCCTTCACAATAATAACTTCATTATAAAGTAGCCTCGTGAAGAGTCACTGACCTGTACTCCAAGTTAATGGGAAGCAATGACTGGAATTAGATGTGTACAAAGGACGTCAGAGGAATCCTCAAGCAAGGTAAAAATAACAGTAGAGGGATCTAACATATTGCTCAACCTTTACTACAAGACTGACCAGTACATTCTAGTTGTGATAAATGGCAACTCTTTCAAGTTGCTTTAATCCACATTTCAACAACAAAGATAGAAAATGAAAACGTACAATAATTGCACTTACGATGTAGGAAGCAGTCATACTTAAAACATCGCCGACAGAAAAGCGTATGAAATGAATGCAAGCTCTGCTCCCTCTGAACAGATTTAGCATTTGGTCCATCTATGTTTGGGGTGCATTCAGGAGGCAGAGCGCCCGGGAGCTGCTGCTCAGTGAGCTCTTTATAT